GGAGCCTGGCGGGAGCCCGGCCCGGCCCGGCCCCGCGCCGGGGAAGGGTCCGGCGGGGCTGCGTCGCCGGTCGGGGTCCGAGCTGAGCTTTCCTGCCGCCGAGGGCTCCGAGACGGGGTTGAAAGCTGGTAGGTGGGCGCACAGCCTGCTGCGGAGACCCAGCACCGGGCTGCCTCAGCCCAGCCCAGCCCAGCCCGGGAGCGCGTCCCACCTGCAAACTCCCGACGGCACATCTGCACCCCGTGCCTTAACGCTGGCCCGGTATCAAATGCACAGACTTGTTTTTACCCGACGTACGTTTCCCGGCGGGCGTGCTGCTACTGTGTTTTATTTTAAATGAGCTCAGTGAGGTCTGGCAGGCCCCTCTCTGAGGGTTTTTGCTGCCCTAGGCAAACTGGAGAATGTATGTATTGCGCACAGTCAACGCTCCCTCCACGTTTTGCTGCACTAGGCAGCTGTCTGTGCTGCCTATATGGTCTGACTATTGTGTAAGAGATACAGTATATAATCCTTAATGAGGACGGCTAAAACTTGCCTGTAAGTCAGAGACAAAGGACAGATCCTGAAAAGGGGGAGACGGACCATCAGTGTTACAGGAGCTTTGGTAAAAAGGTCACGTTTAGGCTGCATAGGGCGGTAGCGTTATCCATCTTGCTTAAGAATAAAAAGTACGGGGAAAGTAGCGATGGGAATAGAAAGAATAAGAAGGACACAGTTCAACAGTTTTTTGATCTGAGCTTTTTGTCAGTGTTTGGGAATTCGAGTATTGCTATTACTGCTTTTAAAGTATTAAAAATTTGAGTATGGCTATTTAGATTTTTTGCAGTTGTATGTCATTTTGGATTCGTCAAAGACGAGAAGGTGAGAATTAAGATCCTGCTGCTCCGGCAACCATTTAAGCTAAAGTATAATATATTGCAGCCAAAAGAGCAGAAGACTAATGACAGACAGTTGAGCAATTCTCACTCCGCCATATAGAAAACAGTGGCCTGTGCATATGAACACATACTTGTATAATACAGTAACCAGTTATTACAGTACCAAGTGACAATGTTCGAAGCTTTATCAGCCAAAATAAGGCTTTCCCAAATGATTTATTTTGATGCATACTTAGTCTTAGATTGAACAAAAGAGAGTCCAAGGACTGAGTGAGGACAAAAAAGAAACCATCAGCTTAGCTTTTTCAAAAAGGCCTTAAATACATTGAGTGTATGAAACTTTTTGTTGTCTTTCTGCACCTGCTTTGTGGTCAAAGGTTTCATTTTCAATGACCTTTCAGAATCTATTAGATTAGCTAGCATAGAAATGTTTAAGTAGTGATGGTATTTGCATGAAGAAAACTACATAACTACAACAGTTATCCGTGGATACGAATAAAAATCAATTGTGAATTTTCTAGGGGCTAGACTAAATTTAATTTGTTTGAATATTCTATTCTTTGGCAAAATACCTAAGCAAAGAGACTGTAACTCAAGATTATTATTTTCTTTTGTTTGGTTGTTTATTTTTATCTTGTATGACAAAGATGATTTTAGGATGAGAGGGATATAACGCTCCTGCCATCTGTAGTTCATACAAATAACAGTTTGATTTCTTTTTTTTTTTTGAAATAAAACACGTGGTCCTTTTGCTTCTAAAATCAGCACTGAAACCTCCATGGATTGTTGTGTGGTAAATTAAGTTAATTCTTTAAGTTTCAAAACTATACTGTGGCCATGGATACCGCAAAGACAGCAAGCCTATTGGTCTACTTAGTAAAGCATTTTATGGTTCCCATTTTGAATGAGGGAAAAAACAGTAATACTCTGGGAAACTAAATTAACTAATACCCTAAATTTAAAAGCTTGCTTCAAGTATGAAATCATCAAAGTTTGCTTGAAGTAACCATCACCAAACATTTATCAGTCCTTCTGCTAACTGATCGCTTCTGCTTCTAGGTTTGTCTTGTCTCCTTGGACCTCATATCTGTTTTGTCCTCATGTAAGATTAATTCCATTAAGTCAAACAAACCTATAAACGTGTAATATAATTTGGAATAGTATAGAATTTCTCTGGCTTCTTCCTTAATCTCAGTTACTCCACACTGTAGAGATTTGTGCCTGTTAGTGATGCTGTGCTCAGCATAGCTTGACGTGGCTTCGAACCTTGCCTGGAGAGTTTCTATGCTGAGGTAGACTGGTAAGCAAATTTACCAGTTAGGTGTAGTAAAAAAAGGCTTAAACTTTGGTAAATAAGCACATCTGCTGCCAGGTATGGCTTTACATTTTTAGAAGCAACTGAAACCATGATAAAGCTATCTGTTTTCTGCAATTTGTGTGTATGTGTGTTTTGGAAAGAAGAGAGCTGAGTTGTTGAGAGTAGTTGCATTGGTGGCCAACAGCAAAGTGATACAGGGGATCCTTGGGTCCCTTCTGCTGCAAACGTGCAGATATTCTGATGCCAGGCGTCTGGTGTCCTAGGTCTGCCACGATATCCGGCTTGTTGTGATTATGCTGCCATAGGGGCATTTGAAATGTCTGTTTAACTTGTGCTGTTACAGACAGGGCAGTGTAAATGATAGCGTAGTAGGTGGGATGCAGAAATAGCCTCACTGGGGGTAGTTGTAGCGTCAGAGCACAGCGAGGGCTGTCCATACGGCTGGCTTGGGAGGGCAGGCCCTCGCCAGCCAGGGCCCATCTCCGCTGGGCCCCACGAGGGAGCAGGGCAGGCCTGGAGGTGACGGCTGGGTCCAACTGAAAGTCCAGGCAAGTACATGGTGATGACGCAGGTCTGAGGTCAAGCCAGGAAGTCAAACCATGGGCCAGGGTTCGATGGCAGGGCAGGGCCATGGGGACGGGATGGGACAGGCAGATGCCTGTGGGTTGGGAGGGCCCATGGTGGGGTTGGAGCCAAAACTGCTGACGTGTCGTGGGGCAGGGACAGACAGCCTCAGGCTGGGCTGAAATGGGGGCCTGGGGCTGGAGTTGGGGGAGGCTGGGATGGGCAGGGACCATGAGAATTGAGGGTGCCCTGGGGACCTGACACATGGTGAAATTTTGTTGCACAAGGGAGAAAGTGCTAAATATTCTAAATATTTTCCTGAGCTCCAGGAATATGTCCTCTCCTTAAGCGATGTTTTAGTGGCACTTGGAAAAGGAGCGACGCCATCTGGCTTTGTAAAATTTCCCCAACCTTCTCTTCATTCTGGTAGTGGGATATTAGTAAAAGGATCACCTAAAGCTGAACTTCAGAGGGTAAAATATCAGCTGAGTGAACCCTGAGGTTTTACAGATGCTTTCTGGCTATTGCTATTATTTTGTGACTTAAACCAGAACTAAAAAGCCAAGAACAAAGACTTAGAAAATCAGTGACTAGACCCACAAGTCGCTATGAATTTGCAGCTGTGAGCTGCAGGGTGCTTTTGAACTTC